CTTTAATCCGGCTACGCCAATCACCCCCCACGACACTAGCCGTCACTGCAGAGATGTACCGCTTCCAAATTAACCTCACGGTGTCCGGATGTCGGCCGATAAGAACACCAACCTTAGCAAACGCTCCACGGGGTAATTCTCCGTTGTTGCTGATTTTTAGAAGCTCGTCAATGACGGCTTTGCGCTCATTATCGGTAAGGTTGGGCTTCGGCATATTTGTAGAGGAAGAAACAGCGTAGTGCAGGCGTGGCGGGTCGCACTCCAGGCGAGGCTTGAAACCTTGAGAGCAAAAAGTGAGATTGCGGAGGCTACAGAAGTTCGTTCGGCGCAAAACTGGTGGCTGTAGGAAGAGGAGATGCAGGGCTTTCGTTTAGTCCAATCAGACGCTGAATTGGGTAAATAGAACTAACGCTATTGGTCAAATTGTCGACTTCGCGTGATCATTTCCGACCAGAGGAAGTATCAGAGACCAGGAGTGGATTTCGCTGACACGTTCTCGCCGGTGGCACGAATGTCTTCCTTCAGGCTTCTAGTGGCATTAGCTGCGGCTCTGAACCTGAAGCTCTACGGAGGAGATGTAGATACGGCATATCTAAATGCATTACTCGGAATCCTGCAATACGTGAAGTCGATTGACGGGTTTCCGTGTGAAGTGGATGGCCACATGTATGTGGTGACCACAGCGTTGTATAGATTGAGGCAGTCTGGGCGCGAGTGGAACTCTGAAATTAACCAGTGGCTTCTTACTTGTGGCCACCAGAGATCGTTGACCGAGCCCTGTCTGTACTATCGTATTGATGGAGAAGATGTTATACTTGTCCTTGTGTATGTGGATGATATCGTGGTAGCGACCAAGGATGAGGAGAGCAAGAATATTTTGTTTGAAGATTTGGATTAAGAGTATGGACTCAAGGACCAAGGACTATTGACTGCATATCTTGGGGTTGAAGTTAGCCAGACAGAAGAGCAGATTACAGTCACTCAAACAAAGTATGCGCACGAAAGTTTGGAGAAGTTTGGCTGCGGTGAAGCTCATGCTGTTGGAAATCCCATGGAAGTGAAGGCCAGATTTGTCCCGCTGGAGAAAGGCAAGACAAGCGACACTAGTTTCCCGTACCGTGAAGCCGTGGGTATGCTGATGTATTTGGCGACAAGTACACGTCCTGATCTGGCATTTGCACTGAGCCAGTTGAGTAGATTTGTGGCAAACCCATCAAGTAAGCACGTTGGTGCATTGAAACGTGTCCTACGCTATCTTGCGGGTACTGTGAACTATGGAATAACGTACGATCGACAAGAGATAAAGTCGAAGGCTATAGTACTCGAAGGACATTGTGACAGTGACTGGGCCAATGACCCAGAAACTCGGAAGAGCACGACAGGATTCGTTTTTACACTAGCTGGTGGTGCCATTTCATGGATGTCGAGACGACAGTCCATTGTAGCCTTGTCCACTGCTGAAGCTGAGTATGTGGCTGCATGTGAGACTGTGGAGGCAATTACAGAGAGTAACATCTCACAGGAAATTCTCCCGCACCACACTGTGGAATTACGCATTGGTATTGACAACCAAGCTGCACACGTTCTAGCTACAAATCCTAACTACAGTCGCCGCACTCGACACATCGAATTGCGTTGGCATTACGTGCGTAAACAAGTGGAACGTGGAGTGCTCAAACTACATAAGATCAAAGGAGATGAGAATCCTGCTGATGCTTTTACGAAAGCACTGGACAAATTGCGTCTCAAGAATCTGATTGCTAGTGTTGGCATCGGAGATGCAAAGTAGTCAAAGCTGAAGCTTCGAAGGAGGCGTGTTGGAATCCAGATTCATATCTAGGACCAGAGTCAACGTGAAGTACAATACGGATGGTCGAACTACGGGACCTGGCACAACTGAGCTGAGCACAAAGGTGCTGTGCAGTATAGTGAAGACAAATGATGCCAGGCCAATGCATGAGAAGCGACTGCATGGTCGCAGAAGAACGTTGAGCTGAGGAGTAGTGAAGCTAACGATCTAATCATACTTTCTTTTACCTTTCAGTGGAATGGTGAAAGTGTTCCTAGGGCATACGGATCAAGTGCTTTATCCAAGAGGAGCGACCATAGTCGACGACAAACTTAAAGAGGAAGCTTGTCGACTCGACTCACTTTTGGAACGCGACAAGTTGCAGCTTCTGCAACACGTCAGCAGACAATGACAAAGCATAGCATCCGATACCGCCGGTAACTCCGAATGTAAATCGGTGGCTCAATAAGAAATGGTATTGCTTATTTGCCGAAATGAATTATGCCACAATGGATGCAGATTCAAGCGCTCCAAAATTAACGTTTTCAAACGTCAAGCCTCGCTGCTGGTGTAAAGAATACCTCGCATCTTCCTTTACAGTTTTAGGCGATCTGATTTACCCCACGGAGAGCTCAAAATCCAAGATTGTATTATTGTTAATGATGAAACTACAGAGAACTTGCTTGTTGTCGATAATTGCTAGCAAGTAAATCAACTAATCCTTAAGTGCTCCATCAAGCTCTTTAGAAAGGCAACGTAACAGTCTTATCGAGGTGATTCCTGAAATAAAAAGCATAAGTTTTGGAGCGTGTTCCCATAAGTTATGCAGTTCTTCAATCTTTAAAAATAAAAAATCTAGCATCCAGATATCTAACGCAATGCTTGAAAATAAATCAGGGCCTCCGAAACTACACCTTTGTGCGTCCAACTTCGTAGTAGTAATCTGCAATCAAACTCGAGAGTCGCAAATTTCTTTTTGTCAAAGTTTTACAAAAAATGATTTAGCAACTTCAATTCTGCATTCAAAGTCGGAAATAACGCAATCAATGTCGTGTGGCGCTAAAACGAGAGGGCCCGGATAACTCCTGCCAAATAGAGATGCTAAAAGCGCGCGAAAACAGAGCTAGCGCGTGTGTCAGTGTATTCTGTAGAGGAAGAAGATTGGCCAGAAGCTCATTTCCCAATTCGCGCTCATCTGCACTACAAGATGCAATCGCAACTTCGCACATCAAAGCACACGGTCCTCGAAAAACAGCGTGTCCTCGACGCATATCGTGCTGGTCGTCGCGACTGGCTAGCCGTGGCGGCTAGCAACGACATCTCACCCACCACCGCCTATGATTTGGTGCGACGCGGGCAAGCTACGGACCTTCCTCGTGGTGGAGCAAGGCACGTCAAGATGACGCAAGAGGCCAGGAATGCCTCGAGAGATATCTCGATGACGACTGCACGTACACGCTGAGCCAAATGCGTACCATGCTCTTTCTCACTGCAACGTGAAGGTGCACACATCGACAATCGACTGCAACGTGAAGGTGCACACATCGACAATCAGCCGCCATTTGCTGAACTTGCTTTACACAGTGAAGCAAGTTCGCATCGAGCCGACAACATGCAACAATGACGTGAATAAGGAGAAGCGTCGCGTGTTTGCAGAGAAACTGAAGGCACACCAAAGTGACGGTAACTGTATTGTTTATCACGATGAGACTAACTATAACGTGTACCTGAAGCGACAGCGAGGGCGCGCGCAGCGTGGACAGCGAGCTGTCGTAAAACTTCCTCCTTCAAGAGGAGCGAATCTGCAAATTCAATGTGCGGTGTCGTCAGCTATCGGGCTGGTGACCTACCGGCTTCAGCGCGGAAGCGTACGCATGGACAAGAACGCAGCCTTCGTAGAGGACATCTACGAAGCCGTTAAGGCCTCCGACGTGTTCCAGACCGGCTTCCAGAAAAAGAAGATCGTGATAGTGCTGGACAACGCTCCTGCCCACCGCCAGACGGAGGAGCGCGTCATGAAGCACCCGGACATGGAGCTGTTGCGATTAGGACCCTATTCCCCAATGTGCAATCCTATTGAAGGATGTTTCAGTGTGCTGAAGGCGCTATATATATACACTATTTTTGCGCTTCACGGGACGAAGGTTTGTGATCGGCTCGGGATGCTCTGGTTTCAAAGTGAGCAGTGATGCTACCTCCCGAGCCCCCATATTCCCCTCCTGGATCGCGCTTGGAGTCCACCCTGAAGTTATCCCCTTTGGGAGTGGGTGAGGGAAGAGGAGCTGCACTCTCGCAACTTGTGGAAGGGACTTCGGTTGGTGACGTCAGGGCTACGGCGAGTAATAATTCAGCGCTCGCGCTCTTTTACGTCTTCGATTGCCGAAAAGAAGCTGCTAAATCAATTTTGTAAAAACTCGAGAGTCGCAAATTTCTTTTTGTTACTTTGTTTCTTTGACAAAAAGAAATTTGCGACTCTCGAGTTTTTACAAAAATTGATTTAGCAGCTTCTTTTTGTCAAAGAAACAAAAAGAAATTTGCGACTCTCGAGTTTGGTTGCAGATTACTACGCACAAAGGTGTAGCATTGGCAGTAGTCCGATAAAAGCTACTACTATGTACTATTACTTCGTAGTACTAGACTTTAGTAGTAGTAGTACTAGTACAGTATTACAGTAGTTAAAAAAAGATGTTTTTTTTCTGAGGTCCGTCTTATCAGCGCGCTTCTGTAGTAGTACTACAGTAGTAGACTACTACATGCAGGGAACCCGAAAAATAATATGCGTAAAAATTAATCCCAATTTTTTAATTTAATTATTAGTGTATGGCCCAATTTTGAGTAAGGTCTAGTCAAGTTACAGCGTGGGGACGCGCTGAACGTCGCGGAAAAATTAGCCTGCGCTGAATTTAGGTCGCCTGATCTCGAACGGTCGTCTTCAAGAGCCGCCGAAGAGCGTTCTATTGTGAGAGCGGCATTCAAGAAACGCAATTGCGCACTACGTCGACGTCGCGTACATCCCGCCAACGTCTAACGAGTGTGAGCGCTTCTTCTCTCTCGCTAAGCTGGTGTTGTCTGATCTACGGAAGCGAATGTCTCCAGCCAGGCTCGAGGTGATAATGTTTCTGAACTACAATCGTGACTTACGAAGTTTTGCAAATAATTGTAGAGCAATAATGGATAAGAAGACGCTTTTTCCTGAAGTCACAGTCTTCTTTGACGCGCTTCTGTATTTGTGTTGTGGCACGCCCTCGACACTAACAAACTACTGCAGTAGTAGTCTACACTAACTTGTCGAAATAGTCGCCACTCCTACAACTTGGTCGATCTACACTACAGTCCACGTTTGGATTCAAAATGCGCAGCACACCGTCGTGTGCTACGGGGTTGATGATCCGACGCACCACGCGAGACTCCCGACACAACGAAGAGCTAACAGCTCTTGGCAGGCCTGGGAACACCCTCGCGACTACGTTGACCCCATGAAGGATGGCTAGACTTGATACCAGCCCCCATCCGAATTCAGAGGATCTCACTTGAACTATAGGCCCTAGCGCTTTTACTGCGTCGTCTGAGGAGGCACGTACGACTGCAGCGCCTGCGAGAGATCCTTGATGAGATCCTTCGCGTCCTCCACACCGATAGACAGCCGCACCAGGTCCTCCGGGAACGAGCGCGCCTTACGCACCTCCTCGGGAATACTGGCGTGTGACATGGCGCCGGGCAGCGAGATCAGCGAGTTAACGCTACCGAAGCTGACCGTGATCTTAAACAGCTTGGTGACAGTCAGAAGATGCTGCGAGAAGGCGAGCGAGCCGGTGCGGAAACACACGACAGAGCCGCAACCGCGAGCCTGTGAGTCGTGGATCTTACGGTCGGCCGAGTTCTCGGGCAGTAGATTCGTGTAGTGCACGGTCTTAATAAGAGGGTGGTCGTTCAGGAAGTTTGCAACCTTAACGGCGTTCTTCTGGGCCGCCAGCACGCGCAGACTCATGGTCTTAACGCCACGCAGCAGCAGCCAACAGTCGAACGGCGCCAGGCCAGTTCCCTCTGCGTTCTGGTAAAAGTAAACGTCACGGCAAAGCTCCGGGTCTTTGGCGATGACGATGCCAGACATGGTGTCACTGTGGCCACAGATGAACTTGGTGGCCGAGTGCACTACGATGTCAGCACCGAGTTTGAGAGGGTTCTGTAGAATGGGGCTCATCATCGTGTTGTCCACGGACAACAAGGCGCCGACTGTGTGCGCAGCTTCGGCGAGACGCTTGATGTCGCAGATGCGCTGCATGGGGTTGGTGGGGGACTCCATCATGACTAGTTTCGTCTTGTCACTGAGTGCCGCCAGCAGGTTCTTCGGACCGTTCTCGCCCGACAGGTCCACGTACTTAACATCGACGCCGTTCTTGGTGGCGACTTTGCTCAGTAGGCGGTACGTGCCGCCGTACGAGTCGTCAGAGAGTACGATCTCGTCGCCGGCATGAGCCAGACGAGAGACAGCGGACAGCGCGGCCATGCCACTGGTAAAGGCAAAGGCACGGTGTCCGCCCTCCAGCTCGGCCATCTGACGCTCCAGAGCCGCGCGTGTGGGGTTACCTGAGCGCGTGTAATCGTAGGCGCCGAACGTGGTGCCTGAAGGTTGCGCGAACGTAGACGTCTGGTAAATAGGCATGGTGGCCGAGCCATGTGGGTCGTCCTTGCAGGCCTCGAAGCTCACGATGCGCGTACTGATGTTAAACTCGTCGTCTCCCTCCTCCAACGTGTTGCGGTTCACGTCCTCGATCTCTAGCGCCTCGTTGCCATCCAGATTGGCACGTGCGCGCTTGGGCGTCGTCTCCAGCTCGTGACGAGGCACGAAGATCTTCTCAGGTTCTTCCTGACCGGTACCGGACACCAGCTGCGTCACGTAGCTGCGCTCTAGCATGAACTCGAGACGAGAAGCCAGCGAAGGAGCAGTGGCGTCTTCTGACGGCGTCGCATCCTGCTGGTTGGCGGCTGCTACGGGGGACGCGGCCCTAGGGGAGCCCGTGGTCTCAGCCTGCTCACGTTCAGAGCGTAATGTGCGCTCAGCCTCAAAGAACTGACGCGTGCGCAGGTAGTCACAGACGAGGTCGAACACTTCCGACTCGCCCAGACTCTGCTGCAGCGCTGCAGAGGAAGATGCCATGGTAGGTACGTGTTAAGGACGCTGGGAAGAGGGGACGGTTGTGCTCCTTGGTGAGCTCTTGGACGCCAATTCCGGAATGGAAAGATGATACGTGTAGGAGAACCGGTATTGTGGATAGTGGGTGGACGGGGATGAATTACTGTACCATTGATGGATTTGTATGTTACTGGAGGTGTTTACATGAAATATTAAAAGATTTATAGATTTGTGGTAGACAGGAATATAATGAAAGAGGTAATCTGATACCGGTAATCAGCACATCATTTTTGCAGGCGCAAACGCTGGCTGGATTGCAAGGCAGGGGCATGAGTGTTTTACAAACACCGGCACAAACTCCCCGAGTAGGTCCTAGCGGCCCAGTGCCGGTAAATACAATGCATATTTGGATATCGCTCTTCCGTGCTGAGCTACAGCCCGCGAGAGCGCTAGGTTTGTTGTCCACCTTTTTCCGCGAGACGAAACTACCGGTATCGGTACCGGTACAACGGTGTTTAAACATTATTTTAAATAATTAAAAAACATTTCAAATTAAATTTATAGAAAATGGCATTAAGTCAAATGTAGTCATTCCTGAAAAATGCACCGACTTCACCACAAATGTTGTCTCGGATCGTTGACTCGAGTTCGTGACGTGGCACAGTTCAAGTGGTGCCGCGGTGCTCATTTGCACTTTAGCCGCTGAGCTTCCCCGCCTATTATAATAGGCGGCGTTTAAGCGGTTAGCCAAAGACATAGGTGGCGTTGCCATGCTGGCAGCTTTAAGTTTACCCGGAGTTCTTGCCGCGACAAAATGACTGCTTTGTCGCTAAGGGCTCCTTACAATCTGAGCCAGGAAATGGGCTCACAATCGCTGCACTTTGGTGCGACTATCAAGGCATGTACAGTACATTTGCACACTGTATTCACCACTGCTCTCGATGGGCCCTTGCCATGATGTTCACGGGGTAGGCCCGCACAGTCATGCATAAGATTCACCCGCACTGCAAGTGGTCAGAAAGTTGTCTTGGATAGGACATCATGGCCACAGGCTGTGTGACTCGCTCCATCTTTCGCTGGATACCCGTTCGTGAAACGGAAGAGCTTTGGTAAAGAATTCAGGCGAGAGCCTCGCAACGAGAAGTAAAATGCACTGAGCTTGGAGATTGCGGTCGGCAATTTTTGTAGCAATCACAAGCACGCCGTGCGATTTGCTGGCTTATTTCCTGGTCATGCAGGACAAGATCCCAGCCTCATTTGCTTGCTCAATAACAAACTGGGATCTTGTCCTTACGCCATGCTGGACCTCGAGACCGGTGAATTCGATTACCGGTAGGTGCCACAGGCGCACGCCCCGAAAAGCAAACGACTGGCAGTCATCGCAGTTACGATATTATTGCTGCCGCACGTTCTGGACTCGCGAGGTCAACTTGTCTTTGGGGCCCACGCTAGTTCCACATCGTCTTGAAATAGCGTGGGCTGAATCAGCTGAGCTGATGAAGGTCCTGGCGGTAAGCGCGCGCACAGACCGAAGCTTAAGATTTTCTGATCTTCATTCCGCTAGTCACGGCCACCAGTGCCAACACCAGCAAAAGGCACCGCTCCATGACAATCTACAGCAGCGTTAACTCCACGCGTTGGTTTTTGGACATTGGCGGCAAATCTCAGTTGCGGGCTGTTTCGCCCACCCATCCTGATTGCTGTACGGTCGTGAATGACTGGTGCCCAGTATGACATAGTGAGAGTCTGACGTGTCGCTTTGGATCAATTCCCAACCGCCCGTTTCTACTACCGGCTACGTAGCCTGCCGCACCCAGCAGCTCTCCTGACCACTTCCGAATTTGGCATCGAGCGGGACCAGCAGCACCGAAAGAGCCCAAATATGTGCAAAGTGGAGAAGAGCAACCTGCCGCCCATGGCCCCCGTGGAGCCACAGGCCACTAAGCCCAAGTTCGTCATGGCGCACGAACCGCAGAGCGATTTCCACTGGACCCCGACCGATGAGCCGCACGCCACTCGTCGTAAGCTCATCATGGCCAAATACCCGGAAGTCAAGAAGCTCTTTGGCCACTGCTGGAAGACTAAGTACGTCATCGCGGCTACAGTGGCGCTGCAGACGTATCTGGCACTCAATGCGCAGTACATGTCGTGGCCCGCCTACTTCCTCATCATGTACTGCATCGGAGGCACAGCCAACCACGCCATGATGATGGGAATGCACGAGATCTCGCACAATTTGGGCTTCAAGAAGCCTTTCCACAACAAACTGCTGGGCATCTTCGCGAACCTGCCCATCGGCGTGCCGTCCTCCATCTCCTTCAAGCGCTACCACCTGGAACACCACCGCTACCAGGGCGAGGAAGGCGTGGACGTGGATCTCCCCACGGACCTCGAGGGCAAAATCTTCAACAACAAACTCACCAAGTTCCTTTTTGTCGTCTTCCAGCTCTTCTTCTACGGCGGTCGCCCTCTTCTCGTGAACCCCAAGACGCCTGGCATGTGGGAGTTCTTCAACGCTGTCGTGTGTCTCAGCTACAACTACGCCATCTACGTGTACGGCGGACTGTCTGGCCTCCTCTACCTGCTTCTCGGCACGTTGCTGGGCTGTGGTGTGCACCCCGTTGCTGGCCACTTCATCGCCGAGCACTACGAGTTCGTGCTGGGCTACGAGACGTACTCGTACTACGGCATCCTCAACCGCGTTACGTTCAACGTGGGTCTGCACAACGAGCACCACGACTTCCCGTTCGTCCCCGGCTCGCGTCTGCACCAGGTGCGTGCGCTTGCCCCCGAGTTCTACGAGGACCTGCCGAGTCACAAGTCGTGGGTCAAAGTGCTGGTGGATTACATCATGGACGACAACATCAACGCCTACTCCCGCGTCAAGCGCCACAATCTCACCGATGACGTCAAGGAGAAGATGAAGAGCGACTAAAAGAGCCAAAAAGTCTCGTGCCAGAAACGCATTTTGTATCAAACCATGTCGCTAGGAATTTGTGCTAACAAAGATCAATAACAACGGCAAAAATTGTACTTGAAGAATGATGAGCGATGCCACCAAACCAGTACACCGGTAAACTACTACGTAGTAGTAGTACGTAGTATTTTCAGCAGTTGTCGTGAGAGTCATATCATAGTTTCCGAAATACTACGTATTCCATAGTACCTCGCACTAATAGTTTTAGCTAGAGCATGTTCTACATAGTATTTTCAACAAAGTAGTTTATCACAAAGGAAATATTAATAGGATTTGAGGTTTAATTCAAAGGAAATATTAAAAAACTGGTACAGCTTTTTGCGTTGTGAGTACTACTACTAACACATCAAAAAGACTACCAAACAAAAAATACGCTGAGACGCGAGAACTTTGTTCTGATTGGACGGGGGCTCTTCTCTTTTTACTGCGACCGCCTTAATTACCAGTAGAGCTACATGTTCATTTTGTGCTTTTTGCATTTAGTACCGTGAAGTTTGAGCTTACAGCAGTGCTAACGCTACTGTAGTTTTTAATTTGGTGCAAATACAGAGCTTGCTTGAATATCACAAATTTCACAAAACCAGCTGAAAATACTTGTTTTTACAACGTAGTCACAAAAAAGATCTTAATACTGTTATGTTTACTAATAGTAAGATTTTTTTGGTGACAGCTGTCTAGGTGTACAGTCGTGCACCTCCAATTCGACACCGGTATCAGTCGATACCCTGCCAGATTTTATGATTACGCGAATCGGATGCGCAATTACCTTTGCCCATCACCACCCTAGCAATTACCGGTAACCTCAACGGTTTTCCCCTCCTCGCCGAGGGATGACACGCCGCATCGATCTGATTTTAAATTTTGGATCGGACGTCTTACAAACACACACTTTGATTTTTACCGCCAAAGACAATGGGACATCGCCCTTCCTCCTACATGTCCCACAAAAGCAGTCTTTGTGCGAGAAGCACAAGTCATCCTGCATGCTCTCACTCCGAACTTGCTCGTTGGGCGACGGAGCGCTTTAAGACCCCCCAAGCAGTAAAGCGCACTACCGTCCAGAGTATTCTTAAGCGGTCCGCGGAAGCTGCTGCCTTGCCGGACGCCTGTCGCGAGCGGAAGCGCTGTTGCGCACCCGCGATTCGCGCGTCTGACGCCAAGCAAGATTATGCAGATTCTGCTCTGCATTGCAGAAGATTGGCGTAAATTTTGTACTGAATTAACAAATAAAATATCAGTGCACTGGATTTGCGTTTGTTTTTTGCTTTACGTTGTGCACTTATGCTTGATATGGTCCGCCCTTTCGAGACGACTGTAGTACAAGTAGTACTACGTAGTACAATTCACTACTTCGAAGTACCGTAATAGTCTATTACGGTTTACTAATAGATACAGTAGTACAGTAGTACTGCAAAAGAACTAAGCTTAGAAGAAAAGAGTGTTGACCTCTGTGGCACTGGCATGCATTCTGTTTTCACAGCTACCTTTGTGGTCACGCATTAGCAGTCCTACTCTGCTCTACGCTTGGCGAGGCTTGGGACCGTTTGGGTTGCCCAGCGTGAACAAGCGAGGCGCGATGGACATGGCCATGAGTTCCTGGAAGAGCAACTTGCACGAGTATGGGATGTGGACCTGCGAGATCTGCGTCTTGTTGCGGCATGTGCGGCACTCGAACGTCATCTTCCGCAGATTGGCAATAGCAATGATGCCACAGATATCGCACACGTGCACACGATACGCGTCCGAGTTTGCGAACAAACGATCCATGAGGAAGTTGGCCGAGCCGTGCGAGATCAGACAATCGCGCTCCATCTCTCCCATACGCAGACCACCTTCGCGAGCGCGACCTTCCATGGGCTGACGCGTCAACATGGTCACAGGACCACGAGAGCGCGAGTGGATCTTGTCGTCGACCATATGTTTCAGACGCTGGTAGAACGTGGGTCCGATGAAGATCTGCGCTGTGAGGCGACGACCAGTGTGGCCGCTGTACATGACCTCGTTGCCGTGTTTCTGGTAGCCCAAATTGTGCAGTGTGTCGGCAATAGCTTGGACTGTGACATCCGTGAACGGAGTGGCGTCACCTTCGTCACCAGTTTGAGACGACACTTTACCCAGCAGACACTCGACCAGATGCCCCACCGTCATACGCGACGGAATAGCGTGAGGGTTGACAACGATATCGGGCGTAATTCCTTCCACCGTGAACGGCATGTCTTCCTGACGGTACGTCATACCAATCGTACCCTTCTGTCCGTGACGCGACGCAAACTTGTCACCAATCTGAGGAACACGAATGTTGCGGAAGCGCACCTTCGTGAACTTGAAGCCATCCGCGTTCGTCGTCAACATGACGCTGTCGATGATTCCATTCTCGTGTGAGCGGAGCGCTGTGCTCGCGTCACGTTTCTGGTGACGCTGCTCGAGTGACGAGTCTTCGGACTGCGGCAGTGGCGACGTCTTCCCGATGATAATGTCGTTGCCACTGACGCGAGTGCCAGGAGCGACCAAACCGTCGTTATCCAGCTTGTGGTAGCTGCCGTGACGCAGTCCCAGGCAGTTCTCACGCGAAGGTTTCTCGAACTCTTCGCAGTTGGCGCCACCTGCGCCTCCGCCAGGGCCGCCGTGTGGACTCTTGTTCCGTTCCTGGTCAATGTAGCAGCGGTAGAACGTAGAACGGAAGAAGCCACGGTCGATCGCGCTTTGGTTCATAATCAGAGAATCTTCCTGGTTGTAGCCCGTGTACGACGCAATCCCCACGATAGCGTTGATACCCGACGGCAGCTCTCGGAAGTGCAAATACTCCATCGCACGCGTGGTAACCAGAGGCTTCTGCGGGTAATTCAGTACATTGGCCATGGTGTCCATTCTTGCACGGAAGTTAGAGCAGTAGATGCCCATGGCCTGCTTACCCATAGCAGACTGATACGTGTTACGCGGGGACTGGTTGTGATCCGGGAACGGGATGATACTGGCGCAGATACCGAGGATCATGGACGGGTGGATCTCGCAGTGCGTGTGGATTTGCGAGCCCGTGCCGACGTCCTTTGGCTCCATAGCAATCATACACACTTCCTCTTCTTCCGTATCGATGAGCTCCACCACGCCATCCGTCAGCAAGTTGTGCCAGCGGTAGTTTGTGATCTTGTGGTTCTGCAGCTTCACCACTTGCTCCTTCTGCAGCAAAAGCTGGTTGTCTTCTACAATGAACAGCGGACGACACACCCGACCGGCGTCCGTGTAGATGCGCAGCTCCTTGTTCATCAGGTCGCGAATGACCGACACTTCAGCGTCGATATCCACACAGCGACGCAGCGATCGCAGCGTACGGATCAGCTCATTCGGCTCTCGATGCACTCCCACCCAGTTGCCGTTCACGAAGATCTTCGTCGAGTGTGGGATGATCTGGGGCTTAATCTCTTCCAAATTTTCAGTCGCCCACTCCTCCAGGAACTCCAGAATCGGAGCTTGAGGCGAGCCCACCGAGATGTAAGCCATCAGAGCCAGATTCTTCACGAGACCGACAGCTTGGCCCTCCGGCGTCTCGGCCGGACAGATCATACCCCAATGCGTGTTGTGTAGTTGACGAGGTTGAGCCTGTTTACCTTCACGACCCAGAGGAGTGTTCAAGCGACGCAAGTGAGACAGTGACGACGCGTACGTCAGTCGGTTCAGCACCTGCGAGACACCAGCCTTCGATGCGCTCTTCTGCATGCCCCAGTTACCGGTAGCCAGCGAGTACCGCAGTCCGTTAGTGATCGTACGAGAGCGAATAGCCAGCGTCAAGTTGAAATCCTTGCCGTTGTCCACACATTTCTGCAGGAATGACTTGACGTCCTTGGTGAGTTTCTTGAACAGGATACGGAACAGACCTCCGAGCAGAGGACCAGCCAGATCCAGGCGTTTGTTGCCGTAGTGGTCACGATCATCCTCTCCGATACGACCCAGCGAGCACATGAGCAATTTGTGGACCACGTAGCCGAGGAAATAGGCCTTCTTGGTCTCATTATGGTCCTCCACACCCACGTGAGGCAGCATTTCCTTCTGTAAAATGTCCTGCGCATAGCGGATACGATCGGCTTTGCTCACATTGATGGCGCTACCACGTCGACCGATGAAATCCAGCGCCACTTCCTGTTCCTGGATGACAAAAGCTTCTTCTAGCGAAGATTTGAAGCGCTCCATGAGCTCAGCGTCCGAGAAGTCGTAGCAAATGTGCTCCAGGATCTCGCGATCAGCCACGAAGCCAAGTGCACGGAAGATGATGACCACGGGGATATCTTGACGAATGTATGGGATGACAGCGCGGATCTGGTTGCCTGTGATGGCGCTCTTACCGCCGCCCTTCTGGTACATCTGCACGTACATTGTACTGGTGGGACGCACCCCGTGCTCGACGTGGGAGCGGGTCTCACAGACCCAGCTGTACTTGGACGCAGCGTTCTTTCGGAAGCAGTAGACGTGGTTGTTGCTCATTCGCTCTTGGGCGATCAGAACCTTCTCACTGCCGTTGATAATGAAGTAGCCGCCTTGGTCATACACACATTCGTTGAGTTCTGTCAGCTCCTTGTCTGTTTTGTGGGTCAATACACAGTACTGGGAGCGCAGCATGATGGGGACCATGCCGATGAACTCCTTGGGAGTCTCCACCTGGTCGTACGGCTCCATATCTTCAAGATTAGCGGGCCCTGAGGAAGGAGCCTGGTACTTTTGACACACTACGTCGACGTACAACGGCGCCGAGTACGTGAGATTACGCAGACGCGCCTCGTGCGGGAACATGACACTCGTGGAGCCGTCAGCTTCGGTCATTGTGGGTTTGGACAGGTAGATCTGGCCAAACGAGATGTTGTAGATGGTGTCTGTGTTGGTCTTGGCCTGACCGGGCGCGTATTGCGCTTCCGGGTTGATGCGGATGGAGCGAGAGTCGTCTACGAGCTCCTGCATCGTGTTCTGGATGAACTCATCGAACGAATCCAATTGTTGGCGCACGAGACCTTTCTCCTCAAAGTAACTGGAGATCACGGCCCACGCGTCTTCCTGAGACACAGCCGAGCCAGCTGCCAGGCCCATATCGCCGGCATCGTCCCGCTCTGTGTCGCTGTCGATCGGGTTCTCCCAGCTCATAGTAGCGGAGGAGACTTGGCTGCGATCGATACAATCACCAAATGACTCGAGGGGGGCGCGGGCATTTTAGTAGCGGAAATTAAGGGATTGTGACGGTACTGCAAAAAATTACCGGTATTGGACTCCGAACGCTAATCGGTTTTTTGCTGAAAATAACGTTACCGGTACTGTACATGAACCCTGCTGGTTATGCCGATATTGATTCAATATTATTGAAGCGGCCACCAACTGGTTGACGGTTTGCATTTTGTCTGACACCGCTGTCAGCACACGGCATAGCTGGCCGCCTGTTTCGAGGCGCACATGTTCTTGTGCTTGTGCGCTGAAAAAATGGCCGTCCACCCCGTGTCGTATGGTCGCAGGGATAGAGAGAGTATCAAACGCTGTATAGTTTCTCAAGTGTTATTCGTCTTTAAAGGAAGATGTACCTCACCATTGTGTATACCACTGTATATTTTCAGGTCCAAATTTATCCGTATGCAACTGAGTCGTGGAAAGAACACAGGGATTACACAAACGTACACGAAAAACCAGACTCCCTGCGCGTGGCCGAAGCACAGTGCAGAATCGAGCGCGCACTACACTTACAGAAACCTCCGAGTACCGACAGAGATGGCGTCACTGGCGTGCATCCAATGGATCCGCGACGAGCTGGAGGCTCACGATGACCTCAAAGATCTCAACCCTCCGCTCGTGGACACCAAGTCGCTGTGCGAGTTCGTGACGGACGGCCGCGCGCTGTGTCTGCTGACGAATGCCGTGCTAGAGGGAGAGGAGAACGAGCTTCCCAAGAAGCTGCAGCGCTCGCTCCGTCAACTCAGCAAGTTCCACGCGCTTGAACGCGTGCAGTTTTTCATCAAATGGTGCCGCACACGCGCCATGCTTGAGGAGCACCAGGTATTCACGACTGTGCAGCTAATAGACGAAGTGAACGAGACGGCGGTATCGGAGACGATCGTGGCGCTACGCAACAAGACGCGACCCGGTCTGAAGGCCTCCAACGCGCTGTGTCAGTACTATTTCGACGGAGATAACAACCGTGTGTCCAGTACCAGTAGCACGACCAGTACCGGCAGCTCCAGCGGCGCCAACAACGCCAATCGCCTCAGCTCGTTCCTCAACAAGTTCCCATCTGCGCCTGTGGTGGCCACCAAGGCGTCGTCACAAAACAAGCCACCGCTAAGCAACCGAGTGTCTCTCACCTCCAGTGTGGCCAGTAGCAACCCATCGCCACGCGAACTGGAGGAGCCAGTGCCTGGAGATGAAGACAACAGCAACAAGTCCCGCCTGCGCATCCCGTCGATCTTCAAGAGCAGCAGCAGCAACAGCAACAACAACTCGCACACGCCACGCAGCAGCGTCATCAGCAACGCGTCGTCCACGGCCTCTACAAGCAAAGAGGAGGGTCAGTCTCGCTCCTGGTCCAGCAAACTCTCGGCCTTCTCTCGCAGTGTCTCGTCGTCGTCCAATGCGTCGGCTCCCCAGTCCACTCCCACAGCCGCTGAGCTGGACAACAGCAACACGCCGCCCTCGTCACCTCCTGCGTCGCCCCACAACCGAGTGAGCATCCCCTCAGCGTTCTCAGCGCCTGCACCGGCTGCTCCCAAGTCGATGTCCAAGTTGTCGGCCTTCCTCAGTAGTGTGGAGACGACACCGGTGGCTCCTGCTTCGAGTGCTCCGTCACGGGATACCAAGGCTGCAGAACCGACTGTAGAGGCCACACCGGAGGAGGAGGAAGAGGAGGAAGAGCGACCGGAGCCTGCGGTTGAAGACAACCAAGCTGAAGAGGAAAAGGAGCGTGCATCAATCAAGGAAGAGGCCCCTGCTACGAGCGAGAACCAGGACGTGGAGGAGCAGCAGAAGTCGCTGAAGAAGCCTGCGTCGAGTGCGAAGCTGCTCGCGTTCTTGCAGAAGGTCGAGCCTGCCAGTGTGACGCCCGCTAAGGTCGACATTTCGGAAGACGAGGACGATGACTTTGTTGCTGTGGAAGCTGAGGACATTTCCACCGAAGACGAGGCTGCTGTTGAGGAGGAGACCCCAGTGGAGGAAGAGACCGCTGTTGAGACGGAGAGCGAGGAGGAAGACGAGTCTGTGGCTACATCTGACGCGCTGGAGGATGAGGAGACGTCGGTGGAAGAAGCCGAGGTGGCGCCTGAAGTGGTTGAGGAGCAGGTGGAAGCGTCAAAGGAAGAGACATCCGAGGAGGAGGCGGAGGCTCCAGAAGATGAGACCCCGGAGGAACTGAAGGTTGAGACTGCTGCTCCCGTAGCGGAGGCGATTGCAGTGTCTCCAGAGTTGCTACAGGAGAACGAGCGTCTTGCATCGGAGAGTGAAGCACTCACGCAGAAGCTGCAGACGGCTGAGGCTTCAGTCGCAACAAAGGACACCGAGCTGGAGTCGCTTAAGCACGAACTTGAGCTGCTGAAGGCGCAACTGCAGGAGGAACAGGCTAGTGCACAGGAGAAGCTTCTGGCGGCTGAGAAGAAGCAGGACGAGCTCGTCACTGAAGCTGCTACGGCTCGTGCTGAGGTAGCCAAGTCGCAGGAAGCAGCGACAGAGGCGTCTTCGGCCTCGAGGGAGGTGAAGGAGGCCAAGATCCAGATGAAGGAGCTGGCAGTACAGAACGAAAGCCTCAAGGCCGATCTCACCAGCCTGCGTGAGGAAGTCCAGACGCTAGAGCAGTCAGTGCAGCTAGCTCGTGACAGCGAGGAGGCAGCGAGATACGCTGCCCAAGTGGCGTTCGCGGCTCGTGACTCGGCGGACGAAGTGAACCAGCAATTGAAGGACCAACTCGCACAGCTCGAGAAGTAGAATCCAAAAGGACGATGTGTGTGTACGTACGCAAGGATCAAAGGCCAAGTGGAGCTTGAGGTAACGACATGATTAAGTTTTTGAATTGTTTTGCGGACTTTTTTTTGCTATTTATTTCTTCTCTACGAAAAAGTTATACTGTATGTGAGCGGTTTAGATGGAGTCGGTCTGGTATCCTGCAAGGCTTCGTCGTAGTACAAGCGCACTACCGAATCCTACGATCATAAAGATGCAAACTACTACGGCGAAGAGGCCGAGGAGATGAAGCGTACTTCGAAGATAAGCCTGGACGTCAAATGCTGACCATTCTGGACATTTGCCGCATGGAGCAATCTGCAGCATAAGAACAAAATAAGTAAGCAGCATAATACAGGTTAGTGTTTTGTGGCGCTGTCAGACACAGGATAAACTGACGTACATCGTTCTGCTCGTAGCCCTGGTCAGCTTCGGCGTTGAGTACCGTCATCCCTTCCTTGCAGTCGCCATCTGAACTGGCATTTCCACTGTTGAATGAGGTGGCACTGCACGAGACCCAGTAGCCATCGGATGACTTCATGACCCCTTCACACGGGATCATCTCGGAGGTCACGTCGGTGCAGTTGGTACAGCCCGAAAGATTGATATCGCAGGCCAATGTTGAGCTCGTGTGTGCGTTGTACGTGGACGCCAGGTGGTCCGAGAAGGAGAAAGCGCTCACAGAGCAGACCAGAAGCGCCACGAGGCAGCTACCGAGGCCGATAATGTACTGTTTAAGACATTAACATGAGTAAGTATTCGAACGCAGCCATGCACGAAGCGACCCACGTACAATAAGGAGCAGAGATCGGCTCTTGGATCTTGAGCCAATGATGCCCAGTACCGAGAGGGCGATCATGAGGGTGCCGACAACGATGAAGATAATGGCTACATTGCCCAGAATCACAAGCACGCACAAGTTAGAGTTTGCATTAGCGTAGCACGTATCAGCAGAGTGCATCCATCGTACCTATCCATCTCTGTCCAGACGTCATCTCGTCATGCACTTTAACCGACAGTCCAAAGATGAAGAGTCCCGTGCCGAGCAGTGTGAAGGCAACATTCATGACCGACAGCATACTGCGCATGACAATGGGTACAGTCACGATACGGACGACGCAGAACATTGACGCAATGACCAGCAGCATGCAAGCCACGCCAATGGCTCCAATGGCCACTACACGGTGCTCCAGATAGTCAACGGCATCGCTGTACGTAGCACAGCACCAGGAATCTCGCAGCGCCGCCAAAACGTTGGCCGTCCAGTGGTGTTTGACCCAAGATTCGAGTGCGTCCTGGAAGAAGAAGGCGGTGTAGCAGGCCACAAAGAGGCCCGTGACCAGCAGGAAGTTGACGAAGAAGAAGATTAGCAGTAAGCGGCTTTTGTCTCTTCCGGCACCGATGAAGCCCAGTAGCGAGAGCACCACAACGCCAATGCCAAGAGCTGATAGAGCTGCGGCACTAGCGCCAAAGTCTGTGGTTATCACCACGTGTAGTGCGAAGCCCAGCAGCGTCACGCCGCAGCCGAAGCTCAGCAAAGTCAGAAGACGTAGACACTTGCGGGGTCGCATGATTGGCAATGATGAAGATGGCTGCTTTTTTCGTCCATGGGCTGGATATTTTTGGAAAATCGAAGTTGACACTTGAGTTTTGTAAGCTATTGAATGATATATTACATTGTGGAGGCTTAATCGAATGTAGAGGGCTCGACAGATATTTACTCTGCACTTCAACTTGGCTATTTTGCAAGTCTTATTGTGGGAAAGGTTGGAGACTGCGATGTTGCAGGAATCTCCGTCCAGCCATGGGACTATTACCGGATGAATACCAAGGTCGAAAGAATACACCTCCATTTCGTCACTATTACAAGTACCCGAGAGCTCGCGCATTTGGACATTTTCAGTTCGTGTATATCTGTACTGCGTTTAAATTTTGTCATTGAGAGGATATCACTATTGAGAGGATATCACTGACACACACACATGATCGCAGATTTTCTGTATAAATGGCAAAATCACTTTTAATACTTCAAGAACGTTTCAAGAGGCCATCATGCGTCGGCATAGTGAAAGAGACTCTCTTCGAACTGCGCAACGATGCACAAACTGGTTCTGCATGTAAGGTGACAAGTTAATATCAACAGTAAGGGATTACACCATGCCAACTTACCTTTTTGAAGGCGAAAAAGAGTGTTTGCGAGTCGCAAGTACCGTACATGATGTAAGTTAGGTCGGGGCCAAGCTGGATTGTTGACTCAACAATGTTGAGCAAGCACGGTGGGATGATACGTAGACGAACGCGAGCGCAGCCACATGCATCCATTTCTCGGACAGCAAAACGTGATTGCAACCTGGTTCTGGTTCGAGGTACACTACGGTCCACGGAGGCCTGAATGCTTCCTCCACTGCCTCATTTTGCAGAGTGCCCCGCAGAGCACACTTCGATTACTTTGTCCACTTCACCACTCGATTCGTGGCGATGAAGCTTCTCCCTGTCATTCCGTTTATCGCAATGGCCACAGTGCAAGTGTCCGCTGCATCGAGTCTGTCCACCTCGTCGTCGACCAGCGGCTTGAATGGCTGGTATCCCTGTTCGGAGTCGACCTTTTTAGACGAAGAAGGATCTGCTAACCAGGATGCCGAGTGCGCCGTGTACACTGCGCCGCTGTGCTATCCGGAGATCTGCGAGAATCCAGAATCCGTCGCCAGTACGACGGTCGACATCTTTGTGAAGCGAGTTCCTGCTCTCAACGACTCGGACACTGCGAGAAACGTGTGGATCTTGCAAGGTGGACCTGGTGCTTCCTCCACAGCCAGTACGTGCTTCCGATGCGAATCCATTAGAAAAAAATCTGCTTTGCGTTCTGATGATAATATCTGTATTTGTGCAGTGGAATCGACAATGGTGGAGCTACACGCTCGAATGGATGGGGCAGTGAACGTTTACACCATGGACCACCGAGGTACTGGTCGTAGTACTCTGTTGGACTGTGTTGCAGCACAGGCAACTACGACGGGGTCTCCGTGGGGCAGTGGCGTTGACACAACAGAAGTCCCTGCATGCGCTCAAGCCCTGAAAAAGAAATACGGAAATCTGTCGTCATTCTCCATGACAAGTGCAGCGATGGACATGGCCACGTTCATTTCCGACTACTCGAATGGAGCTGACACTATTGTGTATGCAGTCAGCTACAGTACTGCGTTGGTAGAGCGTCTGATTCATCTGGACCCACCTGAAGTGACGGGGTATGTGCTGGATGGAGTGGCCACGAGTTCCGGATCTGCTAAGGCACTCGAGTACTTTTCAACGTGGGATTCTGATTTTGGCGACGTTGGCGACGCGTTCTTGGCGCTCTGTGAGACTCAAAGCGAATGCAGCGACAAATTCGCGGCTACGGATCTTCCTTCCACTCTTCAGAACTTACTCACGGATTTCGACAACAATCCAAACTCAACGTGTGCGGCTCTGGTAAGCAACGTCAACAGCGAGGAGAGCAGCGACCCTGCATCGTACACAGTGCGAGGCGCACTGGGGTCTCTGCTTATGAGCGCAAACATGCGAACGCTCATCCCACCACTTGTCTACCGATTGAACCGCTGTGCGTCCGAAGACATAGACGTGTTGACGCACTTCTTCGCGGCTTTGAGCACTGACGAGAATTCCCCAGACGAGGAGAGCGCGTTTGAGTCGACGTTGCTCTATTACCTCATCGTCTTCTCCGAGATGTGGGAGACCCCGCAAGTCTCCGCTTTAGAAATGCTCGAGAGATTCACCAACTCAACTATCTCAAATGGTGGCACGTACTTGGAAATCCCTCAGTATTGTGCCTTCTCGAAAGAAAACTCGACGGTATGCAAGGAACTGGATGTCGGCTCCTACGAGGCTGATGGGATTATCTACGAGCGTGACGAATACTGGAACAAAAGTGCCACAATTCCAACTCAAGCAAGTGTGCTACTGTTGAGTAGTAAACTGGACCCACAGACCCCGCACAAGTACGCCGAGTACTTGCTGGAAGCTCTGGAAGGGAGCAAGAAAGACTTGATCACGTTCGAGTACGCTACACACGGGACATTGTGGACGACGCCGATGAGCGACGACGACGAGAGTGAGATGTGCGGTATGAAGCTGCTGCTGTCGTATGTGCGCAACAATGGGGACCTGGATGGCCTCGACAAGTCGTGTGTTGGTGAGATGCCAGCGCTCAACTTGACAGTACCGATTGGATATTTGCATTATTTCTTGAGCACGGATGAGGCCTACGACGGTACCTATGACGCAAGTTTGAGCTCTAGTGGATCATCCAGTGGCGGATCCGCATCCAGCAGCAGCAGCAGCTCCAGGTACAAGGCCGTCTTCATTGTTTTCCTAGTACTCTTCGTCGTGGCGCTGGGAACTGCTGGTTTCTTCTGCCACCGGTGGCACAAAGCCAAGCTCCAGAGCAGAGAACAACTTTCCGCCGACAAATTCGTCGAGATTTCAACGCCAATAGCAGTTGAACAGTAGTTGACATCCGCCGTCAGTAAAGGAGGAGATTACGCTTTCCAAGACTCAGCGAGTGAGCTAGATGCAATAGCGCTCTTTATGACCATGCCAGGTAACAAGCTAGGCTAAGGTATGCAGGGCAGTTGAAATAAAGCTTAGCCTATGTCAAGCTCATATCGCTAAATGGAAAAATAAGAAGTGTTTTGTCAAGATGATGCGAATATCTGACAACAACAAAGTGCCGCTGAATCCAGGCTTGATGTAAAATGTGAAATCTTAAAGGAGCAAGGACAACACTTCAGGAAAAGTCAAACAACGGGAGATACTCACCAATCGCTCATATGTACTTAAACAAATTCAGAGTTTTTTTTTCTCGAAATTGTACCGGTAAAGCAGTTGTAAGAATAATACAACTTCGAAAAAAAAAACTCAGAACGGCAACATCATTGGAATCACAGCGGTTCAGTCTGTATACAACTGCCGGAATGAGCGTTCGCAGTTTCTGTCCTTTCAAAAGGCAACTGAGAGTCTTCCGTAGCACATATGATGGCGTGGGATGCGTCGAATCCGTCCAATTACTCAGTAGCGTAGAGCAGGTTGAGTTGGGATCGTTGTCAACTCTCGCTGTCAAGTCTTCAAGCACGACGGACAGATTGGTTGACTGGAAATGGGACCTGCACGTGCTGTCTTGCGCACACAGCTCCATGAAATACGCGGCTACTTCGCCAACGTCATCATCCCAATTCGTGATGTATTTGGGAGACGCTGCTGAAGTAGTTACAACGCCGTCTAGCACAAATCCAGCAACAGTTGGCGGGTTCAGGAGCATTAGCCGCTCCATTACCACCGTACCGTAGCTCTTTCCATAAACGATTGAGCTTGCACCATTCGAAAACTTCCAGATAAACGAAGAAATATCCATGGCCGCGCTCGTCACGGAAAAGGACGCGAGATCCCCATATTTCATGCGCATCTCTTTCGCACACGCTGGGACTTCGGACGGGTCAATTTCGGTGCCCAACGTCGGACCGGTCGTCGTTACTTGTGAAGCAACACATTCAAGCAGTGTACTGCGTCCGGTGCCGCGGTGGTCCATGGTATACACATTGAAAGCCCCGTCTAGTCGATCGTGAAGCTCCAGCATGCGCGTCTCCACTAGTAAAAATAATTTAATGTCAAAAAGGTAGGCTATCATCAGATATATTCGAGCATTTGACTTACGTGCATTAGAGGCGTAGCTCGGGCCACCTTCAAGCATCCAAACATTGTGAGCCGTCTTGGGGCCACCAGCAGTGGCGGGTAGCCGCTTCACGAAAATGTCAACGGTAGGCCTCGCAAACTCGGAGACTTCACAGATGCCAGGGTAGCATAATGGAGCGGTGTAAATTGCACACTCTGAGAATTCCTGGCCGCTAGAACCGCCAGTGTCCGAAAACGTGAAATCATGGCAAGGATACCACCCGCTAAGTGGGTATTTTGTTACAGCTCCTTTTGATGCCGAGGAGAAATGACCGAGTAAGCCGATCGAGGCCATCACTAACAGGCGATGAAACTGCATGGTTGGAAAACTGTCGCTTAGATGTTGTCGAGGTCCGAGAAATTGAACAGTGAATCAACTCTCCAATGGTTTTGATACTGCGTCGTGACGACAACAAACCGTAAGCGTATCAGCAACTCAAGTGCGTTATATCTGAGGCTAGACGATATCCAGTACATGCATTGTTTGCACAAGTAATGGTAGAGAAGTTTCTGAAATAAAATTAGCTAAAGTTTTGTGGTTTACGTGACAGTGTCATGTAATCGCTGTTTTGGGTGAGCGCCGGCTGTATGATATTGCGCCCACACGAGCGCAATACATAGACCGGTAGGTGTACCCCTTCCTCCGTCCGGAAATAAAGGGCCACATCAAATCAAAATTCAAACTTAAAATAACATTAGCGCTTGCTGATTAACCTTTTTACTGTCCATTTATCGTGAACATCCAATCATTTTCAATAAGCGGATTGAAAGGTGATAAACAACCGTTTAAATTCACCACTTTCTTCATTTGCACGATCATATTTGGCGTACGTAATCCATCGCACCTAATCGAACAGCTACATTTTTAAAGTAACTTAAATTTCTGGACGTAATTAAATGCAGCCTTCTATATTTCCGGACAGAATATGTACAAGATTGACGTCTACTTGAAGTACATGTACTTAAGTACCGGTACTTCGAAGTACATGTTTGCGTTGAGGCTGACGAAAATTCAGTTAGTCTAACGTACTTTGGAGACAAGCGACATCTCCTTGAGCGGATATTGCTCGATTTCGTTTAGCTCTCTCTCTCTGAAGTTTAAATGGACGAATCCAACGAGTTTTGCCATCGATAACTCGAATCCTTTAAATTTGTACTTTTACGAAAAACGTCAGGTGTGCTCTATACGTGCAGAATGAACGGATGATCCCCCGAATGCAAAAATACCAGGCATTCAGAACGTAAGATAAAATATCAAAATACAACATTTAAATTGATTTCTTCGTGCAATCTGAACAAACCCTTCGAAACAAACTGGAATGTGATGATATTATTATATCTGCATAGCAGCATAACTGTTAAGCGTTCGCTCTGCATTATAAACGTGGGGTCGGTGCTCGGTTACGAATCCCTAATGTACGTGCTCAAGTAGCAGACGGCACTAAAGTAGCTGATCTAGCACTGCTCCATGAACACTGTACCGATAATCAAGCCTGAGCACTATGTACACGGGTGGCGCCCCTGTATGGCACTCGTGCACATATCCGCCCAAGTCAACCGTTAGACACAAGTACACGCCCTATTTTGTCACGGTCTACGGCTGGCAGAAGGACTGGCTATTCTGGACGAGTGTTTCCGACAGTTTAGTGCACGGCAGAAGCTTAGTGCCTCGTCTGACTATCCCGTCTCTACTACTCAGACGGCCTCGTTCCAAGTCTGACGTGGTACCAAGGAATCCAGACAGTGGGAGGGTAGTGAAGTTGAGAGTGATGTCGGTCAGGATGGGGACTATTAGGAGATACCTTCGGAGGTAGGAGAGCAGGTAGGGAAGCTCTCAGTCGTGATTTTCCTTCTTTCAACAGAAGTGCTCAAGAAACAGAAACAAGAAACAAGTTAATACATTTGCTTTACTTTTACGTATAAGTTCCTACGTCGCCGGCTTACATAAGATACACGACCCCGACGAGAGAAGGAGACCGCGACAATTTGGTGGAGAAGCAGGGTATCTTCTAGCCAAGCTGCGTAGGAACGTAAAAGCGGAGAGAGCCGCTTGGAGATCCTTAGTACCGAAGCACTAAGGCGAAGGAAAAGGGAAGCTGGAACGGTATGAGCTTCCAAAATTGGAACGATCCTATCGAGGATGAGGAGCTTCGTCTCGCGCGGATCCTGGCTGAAGCAGATGAGGAGCCAGTAGCTGACGCTCCGGCCACGGAAGGTGAAGGCGACGAAGCTGAGCCAAGGACTCAAGGTGAGACAGGGGAAGCGGCTGAAGGTCAGGCGGAACGAGCTGCCGGAGGTCACGAGGAACGAGTCGACCTGGATGAAGACGAGGGCCTGTTTGGCACGTCACCTCGAGCTGAGGAGAATCGAAGGATGTTCGTGACGATGCTGGGAACGCCTCAGGGCAGGGCTAGCTTTCAAGAGTTCTTTAGGACTCTAGCTGATCGACCGACTCCTAGAGAGGAGCAGGCCCGGGCTAGGGAGACGCGTGAGACCGACACGACGAGTTCTGGAACGAGACGAGGAGTATCGTTCTCGCTGGATCCGTCACGACCGTCTCTGGATCCCGTGGAAGAAACGAGTCGCAAGGCGACCCCTGCCGCGTCGACTGAGGATTCGCGTGGGGAGGATCCTCGTAGAGGATATGGGAACGACGCTCCTGCGTCATGGTCGAACGTTCGGAGTACGGCTAATTCTCGCGCTGAGCAGCAGAGCGACGTGGAACGTTACGGTGCGCCGAGGGCGACTTCGCGAGCTTATACTCCTACGGCAAGTCGTGGGACGACGTCTGCAAGCTACGGAACGGCGCCTGCTAGTCGTGGAACGACTCCTACTAGTGCTGGAACGGCTTCCGCTAGTGACGGAACGAAGTCTGTGAGTGGTGGAACGACCACTGTAGACCCGGCACTACAAGCTTTGATAGTCAACACCATCGGTCAGGCGATGCAACAGATTGCGGTGTCGAGTGGGTCAGTGGGAACGCCACGCATTCCGCTGGCGGATCAAGAACCAAGAATGGCGAATACGCCGCCGGTGTACTCGAGCGCCGAGATGGATCGACTGCTAGAGTCGCCGAGGAGTGAAATGCGTAGTCCTGGAGGTGGTAGGGCTGTGTACCAGTCACCCACTGCGCCTAGGACGAGCAGACCTATGTCTCCTGTCTACGCGTACGATAACGTGTCCGCTCCTACGCCTAGAACGAACGATGGGGGAGGAACGTATGGAACGTCCCGAACCAACTCGTTCCGAAATCCGTTTGCTCCGATGTTGCCGCCTGGTTGGGATCCGATTGAGATGCCTCCTATGTACCCACCTACGCCTGTGACTACACCTTCTGTGTCTGCAGAAATGAGGTCGGAGGGAGTTCCAAATTGGGGAACGAAGCCAGCGAATGTGGGATCGTTCCCGAATTACAGTGAGAATCTGGGTCTTCATGGGAACGTTGGGCTCAATCCGGAACGCTATCCGAGGACTGCGACTTCTCATCCAGATAAACCCGCTGATCGTTACGCAGAACGCGAGTCACGAGACTACTCCCGAGGTCACGTTCCTGTTGTTGGAATTCCGAACGAATTGAGGAACGCTGTCAAAGTGATCGTTCCATTTTATTCGGACACGGCCACGAGTGAGCGTGCTGCTGCGTTCTGGCGCTCGTTTGAGAAGTGCACGGTGGGCATGGACGATCAAATGCGCTTGACTGCTTTTGAACAATGCGTGAAGGGCAAAAAGGGTCAAGAATGGTGGTACAATTCGAGGATCGACAGCTTCGAGCTCCTTCGTTC